ATTCAATACGCAAATAAAAGTGAATGCAATAGTATGTTACAATGAGCAGCAATCAACAATGAGTATATATCCTCACTGATTAAAAAAATCTAACTGGAGGTGCATGAACTATTTGAAACCATAAGGGGTAAGTAAATATGTAATTTCGGCAAATGGGCAACTACGTACCGTACTGAATTAATAACTTCGTAGTATTTGACAAAGGCTGGCTTTCCCACATGTACTTAACATTGCGATGCCCAGGTGTGATATACCACAATAGTATTCACCTTAGCTTTTGCCGATTTCTTTTTACCCCAACTTTCAAAAATATCATTAAAATCGACAACAATTGTCAAAGCAGGCACGAACACCATTCGTGCTACGCCTTGAAAGCAGCACACATCCGCTCGTTTTCGTCTCGTCAAGTATGTGCATTGGAGCGTGCTATCGAATACGATCTTCGGACAAAAATGCCGGAGTTGCGCATCATGTTGTTTAATGTCATTGGTTCCACCAAGTCGAAGCGCAGTTCGCTGTTCGAAATATCACAACAGATGAAACAAAATACCACTACGTGGTTGCCGCTCTGGATGAAAATACCGCTGCCAGCATTCTTAATGTTCTCAATAACCCGCCGGAAACGAACAAGTACCAAGATCTCAAAGAGAAGCTCACTACTAAATGTTCGCTAACGGATCCTGAACGAGCTGCGCGTTTGTTCAATGCCTGGGCTAGGGGATGGAAAGGCAACGGAACTTATGGAAAACATTCTTGCATTGTATCCAGTAGGTAAGACACCTGATTTCTTATTTCGCCATTTGTTCGTCAGTCATCTGCCACCAGACGTCCGGTCTCAACTTACAGACATTTTAACAACCACGGGCGACGATTTTCGGAAGCTGGCAAGGAAAGCAGATGATATTTTAACTGCAAAAGGCTATGAGGTGACAAACGCTGTACAAAAAACCAGTTCGTTCAAACCATCTCATGTTTTGTCTGAAATGTGTTTTTATCACAGGAAATTCGGCAAGAAAGCCAAAAAATGTCGCCCGCCATGTTCTTTTGTGGTTTCGGAAAACGCCATAGCCGACCGTCAGTAACCTCTTTGGCGGTCGGCGATTCAAACCTTTATTACGTCACAGACAAAAACTCTGGACGCAGTTTTTTAGTTGATACGGGTGCACAAGTCAGCGTGCTGCCTGCCACCGGTCATGACCGTCGTTACGGGCGACCAGGACAAGCACTTTTGGCAGCTAATGGCACCTCAATTACGACATATGGCACACGAAAAGTGCCTTTGACTATATGCGGTAGAAATTTTACCTGGAATTCACATTAGCCAATGTTTCACGGGCAATTATCGGGGGAGATTTTTTGCGCTCTCACGGACTTTTGGTTGACATCAGGGGCAAACGACTTATCGAGGCAAGCACATACGCTTGTATTCCAACCAGAACGATTACTGGCACCCCGCCTTGCCTTCACTACGTAGCCGAAAACGATTTTGCCAAAATTCTGAACGAATTTCCTGATTTAACGCGCCCCACATTCAGCAACGACCGACCACTGCACACGGGGTAAAGCATCATATTGTTACAGAAGGCCCCCCGGTGCACGCAAAGGCTCGAAGATTGCACCCCGATAAGCTAGCCGCGGCAAAGGCAGAGTTTGATAACATGATTGAACTCGGAATCATCCGACCCTCAAATAGCCCCTGGGCGTCTGCGCTTCACATCGTACCTAAACAGGACGGCGGGTGGCGCCCATGTGCAGACTACAGACGTCTCAATGATATGACCGTGCCTGACCGCTACCCAGTCCCAAACATACAAGATTTTACGGCCCGTCTTGCGGGAAGGACAATTTTCTCTAAAGTGGATCTTGTTCGCGGTTATCATCAAATACCTATTCATAAACAAGATATCCCCAAAACTGCCATTATCACACCATTTGGCCTATTTGAATTTCTCCGCATGTCGTTTGGGCTTAAAAACGCCGCCCAGGTATTCCAGCGTTTAATGGATACCATCTGTCGAGGTTTGCCTGTCGTATTTGTCTATCCTGACGACATCCTTATCGCCAGTACGTCTAAAGATCAACACAAAAAGGACTTGCAAAATCTTTTCCAAAGGCTAAAAAGCCACGGTATGGTTATCAATCCTGCCAAATGTAAATTCGATTTAAGCGAATTAGAGTTCCTGGGACATACTGTTACAAAAGAGGGTGCTTTTCCTCTCCCCAATAAAATGAAGGCGATAACTAATTTCCCTCGCCCTTCATCTGTAAAAGGCCTTCAAGAATTTCTTGGCATGGTTAATTTCTATCATCGGTTTTTGCCCAAAGCTACGCAAATAATGCAACCACTATTCGCAGCACTTTCCGGCCTGCCCAAGAAGTCGAAGGTTTTGCCCGAATGGACTGACAGTATGATATGTGCATTTGAAAAAAACTAAGAAAGCACTGGCAAATGCAGTTATGCTTACACATCCACAACCAAACGCACCAACTGCCCTCACAGTCGACGCTTCGGACGTTGCCTTGGGAGGTGTTCTCGAGCAAAAGTTAAATGGATCTTGGAAGCCAATTGCATTTTATAGTAGACAGCTACGCAAACCCGAGACGAAATACAGTGCATTCGACAAGGAACTTTTGGCCGTTTACTTGGGAATACGACATTTTCTCGAAGCACGACCCTTCACGATTTTTACAGATCACAAACCCCTCACTTTTGCTATGTCAAAAGTCTCTGAGCCATGGTCAGCGCGACAACAGCGTCACCTCAATTTCATATCTGAATACACAACAGATATAAAACATATTTCCGGTAAGGATAATACTGTCGCCGACGCCCTGTCGCGCGCGGTCATTAACGACATCAATGACGGCATCGATTATGAAATTATGGCCACAGATCAACTAAACGACAAGGATACACAGGCTTACCGCACTGCTATCACAGGCCTTCGTGTCGAAGATGTCCCTTTTTTGCAACGGCAAATTTACATTGCTGTGTGACGTATCTACGGGTAGACCACGACCTATAGTGCCTGCCAGCTGGCGCAGAAAAATTTGTGATGCGGTTCACGGGCTCTCGCGTCCAGGCATACGTACCACTCGCAAACTGATCTCACAAAAATTTGTGTGGCATGGTCTTTCCAAACAAATTGAACAATGGGCCAAAACATGCCTGGAATGCCAAAAGTCTAAAATAAATCGTCATATACGGGCCCCTTTAGAAGATTTCAAAATGCCAGACAAACGTTTTGACCATATCAACATTGACTTAGATTCAGATTCAGATATTTTTATTTCGTCGTGCATGAAACATTGTCAACAAATAATAATAAATTGTAATAAATCAAAAACACACAATGTTTCGCAATTGACGAGGAGTCGCGAAAGACTATTAAGTCATCGTGTCAGCGACACCTATATGCTGGATTACAGCAACAGATATAGCAAAAGACTTGAGTTTATCACGTACAATACGGTACTAAAAGCATAGAAACAACAACAACGGATAATAAATAAAATACGGAAATATGAAGAGCCATGAGGACTTTAATTAAGGATACCGGTACCGCTTGACGAGCGCAAGGGCGCCATCAAGCGAATGCGATATACCTCAATGTACACAATTAAACGAGAATAACGCTTTAACATGACTAAGCACTTTGAAAACTGAATCGGCGTGCCCAGCAACGTTAGGATAGGATAGGATTTACATATTTATCCCGGGGAAACGTTAGAATTCAACGTTAGAACGTTAATTTCAATTTGACAGAACTTTACTGGCATAATGAACTGATGCATGCTGAAGCATGCATTTCCCTCACATTTAGGTTATATGATAAAAAGTTGGCGAAAGTGAAAAACAGAACTTGGCACATACAGAGTAAATGACGATGCGAATTTAGAATACAGTGGAAGAACACGATTGGATCCCGGTATGGTACCGGTACCGGTTCAGGGAATATACGACTAGAAGAAGATCAGACACATGAAAAGGCAATGTTTTCAGACTACTGGCAAATATAAACATCAAGGTAATGATTTTTCAATGCATGTTTGAGGGAGATGTAGTTCATTGATCGAATACTGTCAGTGAGCGTGTTCCATAACTTGACACCAACGAATTTGATGGAGTTTTGAGTAAGCTTGGTGGAAAAGCGATCCACAAAGTAAGAGCCTTTAGCAGATGACCGTGTCCCATAGGAGTGAATACTGCTCTGCTTTGAAAAGTAGTTAGTGAATGCTGCAGGGAGTTTATTGTTATGGTGTTGATGCATTAACTTCAACTCTATGTATATCTACAAGTTTAATAATTCTTAGTTTATTATAAATAGGACTTAGTTGTGTGCAATAAGCAACATCAGAAATAGCGCGAATGGCCCGATTCTGCATAATTTCTAATCGGTGCAATAAAGACTTATCAGCAGAGCCCCATGCAACTACGCCATATTGAATATGGGGCTGAAATAGGGAGTAGTAAACCATGCGTAATGTAGGTAGCGATGTAAATCTTTCAAGTTTATATAATATCCCAACCGACTCGGATAATTTACTGGCCAGGTTTGAAATTGTGTATCCCATTTCAATTTGTTATCAATATATATGCCAAGGTATTTATAAGAAATAACGTTTTCAAGTTTTGTACCATCAATTTGGATTGACAGACCATTTTGAGATTTACGCCTATATGGTGATATTGACAATGTTTTAGACTTTTCTATATTTATTGTTAGTTTGTTAGATCTCATCCAATTAGCCACCTCAGCGTTTGCTCTTGATTGAAGAGCTGCATGGGATTTGTCGCTGTCGAGGAGGCTAGTGTCGTCAGCAAACAATTTGGTTAAAAGCGAAGAACAGTGAACTATGTCATTGACATAGAAAAAATAATGGGCCCAATATACTTAGTTGGTCCTTTACCACCATCACAAGGATACAATTACCTTCTTACAATAGTAGATCGTTTCACAAAGTGGCCAGAAGCTATTCCCCTCAAGGACATATCAACTATGTCTTGTGCCCGAGCTTTCCTGTCAAATTCGGTTGCCCGTTTTGGTGTTCCACTTCACATTTCTTCTGTCCGAGGATCACAGTTCATTTCAGGCCTTTGGTCTGCCGTTGCCGAATTATTGGGAACAAAAATTCATCACACTACAGCCTACCACCCACAGGCAAATGGTTTGGTAGAACGTTTTCATCGAACAATGAAATCTGCCATCAAGGCACGACTCAATGATTCAAACTGGTTGACGTGCTTCCATGGGTTTTTTTTGGAATCCGCACAGCTTCGAAAGAAGATCTTACGGCATCGTCAGCTGAGCTTGTTTATGGCGCTCCCCTCACTGTCCCCGGTGATTTCATATCAGACTCTAAAGACAATAGCTGCCCGACCACAAATCTTCGGCTTCTCAGAGAAAGAGTAGGATCATTGGCTCCAATTCCTACGTCGCACCATGGTCCTTTCAGAGCAAGAACGCCAGCCGCACTCAATCAAGCCAAGTTCGTGTTTATTCGTCGTGACGCACACCGATCTCCTTTACAAAGACCTTATGAAGGACCATTCGAAGTTTTGCAACATGGGAATAAAACTTTCAAAGTACAGATTGGAAACCGAAGCGAAACTATTTCTGTTGACAGGTTAAAGCTAGCTCATCTTGATCTCGACCATCCTGTTTCTGTATCCATTCCTAAACCAAGAGGACGTCCTCCAATCCCTAAAACAACAACGAACAATCAGCGTTCTACAGACGATCGTTCATCCGAACCTACAACCGGTTATGATTACAGAACCAAATTTGGTAGAAAAACTCGTAAACCCACTAGATTTTTAAAACTCATTCCGTCGGGGGAGGGGGGGGGGGGGTAGTGTGGCGAACTACCACACTACCTTCATCAGTTAGTGGTGATCTATAAATAGTACCTACCGCGGGTTATTGTTTAATTTTTCAATGATATGTCAATGAATATAGATTCAAAAACCTTTTCGCACATTATAGTAATATCTTTGCGGACAATGTATTTCAAATCATTTCAAGGTATTTCATCAGCTTCAGATTCAAAATTTTCATATTGTTGTCCAGAAATATTGGTACATTTTAAATGTATCCAAAAAGAACAAATGTCACAATAAAGAGCTTTTTGATTGATTCGAACTGATTTGTGGCAAGTTCTACATGGGTATTTTAAATTAGTTTTCATGGCAGTGGCACAACTAAATAAAAGTAAAAAATAAAAATGTAAAATGAATAAAATAAATCAAATATATACTCTGGCTATATAGGTGTCCAGATGTTGAAAAGATGGAGAACCATTGATTAGACAGCACTAGCCTATTTAAATACGAAAAATGGAGATTAGGAATGAGTTAATCGTTCCCCTCTGCTCATAGGCTACCGCTACGTCTTGAGGTTGGTCCCACTGAGCGGGCAGCAGCCTTGGAGTAGAGGGGACGAGAGAGAGTAGTGATATCATTTGAAGAAGATATTACTCGCCTTTTATCTAGGTAAGCGTAGATAATTCCATTCATTGTGCACACTTTTTGTTTTCCGAAGGCTTCCTTGGCAGTGTTGAGTAGCGCTGCCTTTGAGTTTTTTTTCTACCATACACCATATTCTTCGTTGATCTTCTGACGAATTTGATGATGATGGGGTTCTTCGGAGATCTTTATTTTAATTTGTGAGTAATATCAATGTCAGTGTTTACAATAGGATGGTTGGGCTTGAGGCTGTTATTGAGAGTTTTCAGTACGAAGTCTTCAAACTTATCGTATTCGGTTTCTGGCACAGAACTACAGCCATGGAGAATCACACAGTTTCTTCGGCTGTACTGTTCTAAATCGTCCTGTTGCTTTTCACATTTCTCCAGCCTGCTAATAGCTCCTGGATTTTGGAGGAGATTTGAGCCACATCATTCTGGAACTTCATGATGTCCTGGGACTGGTTGTCGTGGTCTTTAGAGGCCGACAGTTGAGTTGCATGTGACATTAGCTCTTCTTGCTTGGCCTGGAGAGATGAGATAGCTGCCAGAATCTGGGTTTGGACTTCCTTGTTCATCTTTTAAGTAACGTTAGTGCAGTAGTGTGATTGATTGCAAGGTGAAATCTGGTATCCAGGTATGGAGGTAGTATATCCAATCCAGTAAGATCAACTTCAATAGCAGAATAGTGTACTGTATTGACATAGTTATGCGTACAATATTAGTACAGAAGGTAGTAGGCTATCGTACTTTCCGTCTAACCAAAGATTACAATAACATCTGCAAACTTAATAAAACCAAATACTCCAGTCTTGGGCCAGTAAGGTATTGAACATGTATCCTATTATGTAGAGATTCCTTTACAAATAAACACACATACCTTTTAACTTGAATTCATGCTAAGAATAGGTCGAAATACTGTTAACGAGCAAAATTTCCCTTGTTAGTTTGCGAGCACTCCAGCGCGGTAAAGAACTTTAGTGAATACCGATTCTCGGTAAAATGAGAGAAGGCACTTTACGAGACGTCTGTTTTGGCGCGCAAAAAATTCTTTCGAATAATTTTTCTCGAATGTTAACGATACTTCGAGAATACTAACACGTTAAACGATGAAGAAGTTTGGCGAATGGGGGGCCCCTGGATACTTAAAGGACGCCCGATCCAAGAAGAAGAAACGAATAACAACTCCGAGCACCGACTTGTGGGTAACCATGGCAACGGCAGCGAAAGCCTGTACAGTACAATACAGACATTGCCTGAGTTGTGTTTATTAGAGTAGGATTTTCATAATTATCCCGCGAGTGAAAGCCGATAACTTGACATCATTTTATTCCGTAAAATAGTTTTGTTTGTCGCAGTTAGGAATAGGAGTATGGAAACAAGTGAAAATATAGTGGTAACAAAGAGTGGTAAGGTGCTTTGGTGCCAGATACGTCATGATGTGGTAAAAGCCTAAAGACAAGACCTGACGTTAACAGGTAAAAAATAATAAAATTTAATTTGTGAATGAAAAAAATCAAATTAAAAAGGAAGGTAAAAATTTAATTTACTTAATTTAGAACAACTTTTCCCACATATTCCACAAGCACAAAGTTACTTTCCGGTTTGGATTTATATGTTACTTTGCTAGTTACACAATGTAGAATAACTTTCTCCACATGAATCATGAAGCTTCGCTTCGGTATGGATTTGTATGTGACTATTCGAGTTACTTAATGTAGAAAAATCTTTCCACATATTTTACAACCATAAAGTTTTATTCTGTATTGATTTTTATGTGACTTTAAGTTACTCTGTGTGAGACAACTTTTCCCACATATTTCACAAGCATGAGGTTTCTCTCCGGTATGGATTTGTATGTGACTTCAAGTTACTCAATGTACACATATTCCACAATCATGAGATTTCACTTCGTTAGGGATTTGTTTGATCTTGTCTCTCTACTATATGGATTTGACTTTTCAAGTTACTTAGTGTGGAACAACTTTTCCCACAGGTTCCTTCCAGTTATAGATTTGCATTTGGCTTTTCAAGTTACGATACTTAAAGTAAAACAACTTTTCCCACATATTTCACAAGCATGAGATTTCTTTCTGGTATGGATTTGTATGTGACTTTTCAAGTTGCTCAATTTAGAACAACTTTTCCCATATATTTCACAAGCATAAGATTGCTCTCTGGTATGGACTTGTATGCAACTTTTCAAGTTACTTAATGTAGAACAAGATTTTCCACAATATTCACAAGCTTAAGATTTCTTTCCGGTATGGATTTGTATGTGACATTCCTTAAATGTATAACAACTTTTCCCACATATTTCACAAGCATACGATTTCCCTCTGGTATAGATTTGTATGTGACTTTTCAAGTTAATCAATGTGAAAGGTTTCTTCCTCTTATAGATTTGCATTTTACGGTTACATTTTACCAATATAGAACAACTTTTCCCACATATTCCACAAGCATAAGATTTCTCTCCGGTATGGATTTGTATTTAACTTTTCAAGTTGCTCAATGTAGAACAACTTTTCCCACATATATTCCACAAGCATAAGATTTCTTTCCCATATGGATTTGTATACAATGTAGAACAACTATCCCACGTATTCTACAAGCATAGGGTTTCCCTAACAGTATGGATTTGTATGTGACATTTCAAGTTACTCAATTTAGAACAACTTCTTACACATATTTCACAAGCATAAGATTTCTCACTGGTATGGACTTGTATGCGACTTTTCAAGTTACTCAATGTAGAACAACTTATCCAACATGTTGCACAAGCATAGGGCTTCTCTCCAGAACTTTTCCCAAATATTGCACAAGCATAAGGTTCTTCTCCGGTATGGATTTGTATGTGACCTTTCGACTTACCTAATGTAGAATAACTTTTCCCACATATTTCACAAGCATAAGATTTCATTCTGATATGGATTTGTATGTGACTTTTCAAGTTGCTTAATTTAGAACAACTTTTGCCATATATTTCACAAGCAAAAGATTTCTCTCTGGTATGGACTTGTATGCGACTTTTCAAGTTACTTAATGTAGAACAAGATTTTCCACATTATTCACAAGCTTAAGATTTCTTTCCGGTATGGGTTTGAATGTGACATTCCTTAATGTAGAACAACTTTTCCCACATATTTCACAAGCATAAGATTTCTTTCTGGTATGGATTTGTATTTTACTTTTCAAGTTACTCAATGTGAAAGGTTTCTTCCTCTTATAGATTTGCATTTTACGGTTACATTTTACCAAGGTAGAACAACTTTTCACACATATATTCCACAAGCATAAGATTTCTTTCCGATATGGATTTGTATACAATGTAGAACAACTATCCCACGTATTCTACAAGCATAGGGTTTCTCTAACAGTATGGATTTGTATGTGACATTTCAAGTTACTCAATTTAGAACAACTTTTTACACATATTTCACAAGCATGAGGGTTCTTATCGGTACGGATTTGTATGTGACTTTTCAAGTTACTCAATTTAGAACAACTTTTTCCACATATTTCACAAGCATAAGCTTTTTCTCCGGTATGGATTTGTATGTGTCTTTTCAAGTTGCTTAATGTAGAACAAATTTTCTCACATATCTCACAAGCATAAGATTTCTCTCTGGTATGGACTTGTATGTGACTTTCCAAGTTACTTAACTCTTTGAACTCTGACGGCTCTGAGCGAAGTTACTCGCTTGTTGTAACCTAAGTTCTGTTTATTACTTCACAAACAAATCCATCCACAAATACTAGGCTTTAATTAACTTAAACGTTAGCAGCACCTTAAAGCAGTTCACAATGAAATGATAAAGCACCAACAAAACATGACTCAGATAAAAGCAAGTCGAGTATGACTCGGCAGACAAATTACTGTTGCCAGTAAACAGATAAGTTGAGAATACCAAAATATGCAATAATACAATATAAATTACCACACTCTACCCCCTTCAAAATTTAACAATTATATTCCCAATCGCCATATCTTTCAGGAGGCTTTCTCATTCTTGTTGGTCTTCCAACGCTGCTTGGAACAGGTACCTGGGTCATTTCCGCTTCAAATGTTGAAGGTTGGTTTTTGATCTCAGTGTTCTGAACTTCTTCAGATTCAATATTTTGTTCAATAAGAATTACCACCCCTTTTGACTTATTACTCTCATCATAAAGTGATACCTTATCAGTGCATCCGAGAGGGGCTAGATCTTGCGTTGATACTGTAGACTCTCGTCCATCTTTATATTTTATTGAAGCAAAGTTTGGATTAGCATCTAGTAAATCGACTTCTTCACATAGAGGATCATCTTTATTTCTAACAAATTTTCGAACCAAGACGGGCCCTGGTGTGACCAACCATGTTGGCAATGCTTTTCCAAGCATCGATTTTCT